ATCCTTTTGCGAAATTTAATTAAAATGTATTTTTCAGATATGGTTTGTTGGGGCCGAGCGGTTGCGGCAAAACAACACTATTGCGGTGTATTATCGGCCGAATAAAGCCAGACCAGGGGTATGTCCGTATATTTGGCTACCAACCCAACGAACCGGGCAGTCAAATACCAGGCCCGGCGGTCGGCTATATGCCACAGGTATGGCACTCACAAACAAACACCCATTTAAAGGGTGACCCATTTATTGGTATTTGATTGCATTTAGGAAATCGCGGTCTACGATGACTTCACTATCGAAGAGACTCTTCTCTACTTCGGAAGACTTTACAGACTTAACCCCAGGTTTCTGAAGGAGAGGATAGAGTTTTTGTTGGCATTCCTCGATCTGCCCAATAAGACCCGAATGGTTATGAATTTAAGGTAAAATTTCTAATTCATATATCATTTATGATGGATAACTCAGCATTGCACACAAAAAATATTTTATGAGATTTTGCTGCGAAATCAAAGTATTTTTTCAAATTAAATAATTGTTTTATATATCCCGGGGCTGTTTGTATTGTTTGTCCTCATTTAACAACAGGAACTCTAACTTGTTTTATACTTAAAACTAAAAAGCTTTCGCTTTCATTACTATTAACTTATTGCAGTATAACTGTATTTCTGATCTATTAATAAATTCAATTTTTAAGACTCGTATTAAAGCCAATTCCATGAGTTGTAGAGCAGGTCTCACGTCTGAACCATTTATTTAAATACCGTTCTCCTAAACAAGCTTTACGTTTGAGACTTAAAACTAGAACATTAAATATATATATAATATTATTTTTGACCATTTATTTCTCAAAAAACACTTCTTAAATAAGTTATATAATTTTGTTTGAAAAATCATTTTAATGAAATATTTCTAAAGAATTTAGAATACTATATAATGCACTAAAATTGGTGAATTCATTAATTTATTTGAGAAAATTTTAGAATAAATATTATTAATTCAGCAAAAAAAGTATAACACTTTTAAAATGAGACCAAATTTCATACTTAAAGAATAAATTTACTGTTATTTAAATATACTATACAGTACAGAGTATAATAATATTATATAATATATTTAATATTCTAAAATATGCCATATTTTAACACTTTTAAAATGAGACCACATTTCACACTTAAAGAATAAATTTACTGTTATTTAAATATACTATACAGTATAGAGTATACTAATATTATATAATATATTTAATATTCTAAAATATGCCATATTTTATTCCGTATATGCAGTATACTGTAGTTTGCTAAATTATTGTTTATGATAAATTTGAGACAAACCGGGAGTATTTCTTATAAATGTTTAAATATAATGTATATATTTAATTATAGTGGAATATTAGTACCGTAAAAATATAATGAAATCATTAATTATTGTAAATTACATAATACTTTAGTGGCGGTCAGAAAAGGAGAGTTTCATTAGCGGCAGCTTTAGTCCATTCGCCACCACTTCTCATACTCGACGGTAATATTAAAACACCAATTATTTTGAATGAAAATTAAAACATTTGATTTATACAGAGCCCACTGTGGGCGTAGACCCATTGCTCAGACAGAGGTAATGATGGAATTTTATACTGGATGATTTATGATTGAACTAATCAATGTATTGATTGTCTAGCATTTGGCAACATTTAGTAACATTGACCCAATCCGAGAGAATAACTGTAATCATAACAACCCATTACATAGAGGAGGCCCGACAGGCAAATGTGGTCGGACTCATGAGACACGGAAGACTTCTGGCAGAGAACTCACCCGAAGAACTCATGTCTCAATACAACTTGACTACACTGGAAGATGTCTTTTTGAAGTTATGTATGACTGATATGTCTCTCAAAGCCGCCTCTCTGGCCAACACCACTGGTCTACAGCCACTCAGTGTAACCGAAACCCCCAATAGTCACACACTTCATCCACATTATCATCTAATGGCCACAAATGGAGATCTCAAGAACGGTCTTAAGGTTAATATCTTAAAATATTATATTAACCATAAAATGATAGGTAATCGATAAATAATATAATAATTGACACATTCCTGTAGTTTCCTTCAGTATTTTCACTGTACAACGGAAATAATGAGACGAGTTATACACTACCGCCGACTCCAACCCCCGTGCGATCCAACAATAATACCTCGACCACACAACTGGTTGAAGAGGACGGCCTATTCATTAATCCCATATCATTGGGAACGATGTCCAGGGGAGCCAAATATGATTTAAGAAGACTGGACGCCAGCGAATATTTCTCGACCACAATGGCTGTCACGTGGAAGAACTTTACGAGACTCAGGAGGAATGTGCCGTAAGTCGTATATTCTTATGAATTGTCAATATATTTGTGGCTGGATCCTCTAAAAATGTTGTCTGCTTGTAGTCTCCTCTTATTTCAGTTCGCATTGCCTGCCATTCAAGTGATCCTATTCTGCATCTGCATCGGCGCCGATCCCTTCAATATTAATGTGGCGATTGTTAACGAAGAGTTCCCTCCATTCCTCAGCAGAATATTTTTGGACAAAATCAATCCACGTCTCGTTAATCAGGTTTGCGACCACTTATTACTATTAATAAAAGACATAATCCACTAATTTATTGATGTATTCATTGATTGTATTTTTAGTACAATTTTAGTTCCTTTGACGACGCGATCAACGCTGTCAAGAGGGGAGAGATGTGGTATGTCTTCAAAATATTTATGTCCTCATTATTACATACTATTTGTTAGCTTATCCGTCATATATCTCTAAATATACTTATGTTTAAATACTGCCGGCTAGTAGTACCCAGCACGTGTCTTCAGCAACCTGTTATGACTTATCATAGAATACCTTTAAGTCATACAAATAGTGACAGATTTTTAAAATCTTCTCATAAAATATATTATGCCTAAAATTTATTCAATTACCAAATATAGAAGTTTGCCAAATAACTTACTGTATACCGGTATATGAATAATGCTTGTGAATTATATTGTACTATTCATAGAATTCATACCATGTAGACTTTAAAATAATTTAACAAAATCTAGATTTATCTAGAAGTACTAACTTATAAAAATCGTAAAAATAGAGCTTTAATTGTTTTGTCATTTAAAAATATCTAATTTTAAAATTAATTTTAGGGGAGTTTTGAATATTCCGGAAAAGTTTAGTATGAGTCTACAGAGAAGGTATGTTAAATGCTTCAAAATCCAGAATTGGTTACAAAACATAATTGTGTGAATTAGGATGATATTAGGCGAAGATGTGGACAATATAACCATTGAAGGCAGTACTATAAGGATATATCCAGACCTCACCAGTGAGTCATTCTGAAGACAAATATTTGCCGTAAGACTAACAGAATATATGACACAAAATAGATCAACAAATTTCATACACAATGGAGCGGACATTCAGGGAAGCATTCCAGGCGTTTGCAAAGGACACCCTCAACATACTCGGCCGCAATCCAGCCTTAGCTGAACTTCCTATAGCCGTAAGAATTATATGCTTTTAGTGCAAAATATGACATTAGATTCTTACGATTAGAAAGAAGTGTAAATTGAAATATTACTGTCATTTAAAATTTATTTTTCAATATTAATTCAAATAAAAACAAATGAGGTTAAGGTTATAAATCCTAACAATTAAGTTGACTGTAAGATATGAATTCTCAATAGTTATTGTGAATCTTATATAACTTAAGTGCCATTGAATTTGAAAAATTATTACTATTGAATGACACTTACTGTCATTAAAGGATAGTAGTTTTAAATAAGTGGATATTGTATTTAATATATTATTTGCATAGAAATATTTGTTTTAATTTTTATAATTATTAAAATATTGAAAATATAGATGAGTTAATATAAGTATTAATTTATAAGCTGTAAGAGAAATTATGATAGTCATACGATATTATAAAACTAATTATATATAATTTATAGACAGAATATAATAACAAGAATTCAATATAGAATCAATATTGTTTAAAGAATTTAATCATATAAACAGTATTATAATTAGTGTTCAATTCTTGATTTTTGTTTTATTTTTAAAAAATTTTACACTAAACCGTTTTCAAAATATCTCTAATAAAAATTATTAAATTCTTAAACAACTCAATACACTAAACACTCATATAGTTTTCTACACAATGAACATAAATATAAATTATTTTATAAATAAATTTAGACTTAAATAATAATAATATTGAAATTATTTGATATAAAGTTGGGAACTCCTGTTTATGGAGAAGCTGACCAACAAGGGTATCTAGAATATATGGCACCGGGAGTTGTAGTAAGCATTTGCTACATTATGGCCACTGGACTCACAGCTTTGGCTTTTATTATCGAAAGAAGAGGTATTTCATGATTTATAAATTATATATAACTTTATCTCAGTTTGAACACTCATTTTCTATAAGCATAACAATTTGTTTAATAAAATATTTAAAAATCAAAACAGACGGTTTGTTTGAGAGAAGTCTTGTGGCGGGAGTGGACACACTTCAGATTCTGGTGGCACATGCAATGGTCCAGATATTTGTGATGGTTATACAAATCATTTTGGTTCTTGTCTTCACATTCCTCGTGTTTGACATTCCAAGTCGGGGTCCATTTGTTTGGGTCATATCACTATTACTCCTTCAGGGAGCCACTGGAATGGCATTTGGTTTGTATATTATATATATTTATATTTCTCTCTTTGATTTATACTATAATTTCTAATAATCATCATAATTGTGATCAAAGGTCTGGTGGTGTCAGCCCTGTGTCAACAGGAGAACACAGCAGTGATGATGATTTTGGGCACATTTTATCCAAATCTCATTTTAAGCGGTATTTATTACACATTATTATAGATTGTGTATTAAAACTTAAATTACAAATTTTAAAAATAAGGTATAATATGGCCGTTGGAAGCGATGCCATATTGGATCCGATGGTTCAGTTATATTCAGCCGCAAACACTGCCCACAGAAACCTTGCGACACGTACTCTCCCGGGGCTGGAGTCTAGAGGAGTCCGGTGTATGGATGGGCTTTTCGGTCACATTCTTATGGCTCGCATTCTTCTTAATTTCTGCGGCAATTATTTTTAAAATTAAAAAATAAGTCAATACAACACATACTTAAATGAAATGATTCTACGTTTGAAATAAAAAGTTAGCCAAAGATTTGTTTTATAGGAATGTATTAAATTTTAATTAATATTTTCAATAATTTCAATAATTATATTTAATTATAACTCATTATACGAAAAGTTTATTTAAAACATATTTTATATGTAATTATATAATTGAAAGTTTTATTAATAAATTAAATAATTTTTGTCTTTTTTTGTAATGGCATTTATATTATTTAAATAAAAATATTTAATGATTCAATAAAATTATATAAGAATCCAAATAAGAATCAAAGAATTCAAACGATTGAATCGTTTTGATCGTCACTTTTGTTATCCTTAAGAAGTGAATACTGGATGTGATTGTCTTCATTAAGTTGTTTATCATTTGTAGCGTTATTTGCGATTAAAACAGGATTTTGTGAATAAAGATATGTGGCGTACGAGACGATGGATATGGCAATGACTGTGAAGACATCGATTTTGATGTCAAATATCATAAAACAAAGGATTGCGGTAAAGACGAGCTCTAATGCGGCGGCAAATGTCTTAAGAATGGAATTGAGGTTCTTGAGAAAGAAACTGGTGATAATACCACATAAGGCGTTGTTGACCATCACAGCTATAATCTTTGGATCACTTATGATTGTAATACTTTCGGACAGTTCCGAGAGGCGACTGATTTCACCGGTTATTAAGAGTAATACCAAATTACAGGCAATTGAGTCGATATACATAAACACGTTTTGGACCATTAGATGCACTTTAGAGCCGACGTCTTTCAAGAGAT